GCAAGTTTGTTTATAAAACTTTATATTCATATATAAAAATTATCTCGCAAGTTTGTTTATAAAACTTTATATTCATATATATAAAAATTATCTCGCAAGTTTGTTTATAAAACTTTATATTTCAAACTTCTATTTCACGAAAACTGTTCATATGAAAGTCTGGCTATTTCACGAAACACTACAACCGAAATATGGCAACCTGTTTGGCCGTTTTTTGTTCAAAATAGTGGATACACAAGCTTCATAAGGCGCTTTCCTCGGTTTGGAACAGGTCTGTCGCAAGTTGTTGAAAACAGCATTGCTGCAGCTCTGTGTCAACAACTTGCGACAGGCCTGTTGAAAACAGCATTGCTGCAGCTCTGTCACAACAGCTTTTAACAGACCTGTTGAAAACAGCATTGCAGCAGCTCTGTCACAACAGCTTGTAACAGACCTGTTGACAGGCCGTTGCAGGTCTGTCAGAACAGACAGGTACAAGGCGAGCGAACGCATCCAGATATCGGCTTGTTGACAACAGGATTTAACAGATCTGTTGCAGATCTGTTCCGACTTGCGCGTTTCTGGCTGTGTAGACCATGTCATCAGTGAACACATGCTGTGACCTCTTACCGTGGACATGGACATAGCCAGTCTCCCAAAGCAGTTTGCCAAACAATTTCTTCAACGGAAGCACTTTATGTTGTTCATCACCCAGACTCCAGGAGGGAAAGAGGTATGCAGAGATCAGTGAGAATGGACCGTATGGAGGTGATATTACAAACATGTTGAGATGGATACCTTTGACATGACTGGAAAATAACAACAGTTGCTTATAGACCGTATACAAGTTAATTATATCTGATGTTTTGAGGCAATCTTGTATCAAGAAATTTTAAGGACCTTAGTTGCATTTGGGTCCCCTTTTGAGCTGGGGGCCCAGGGCAATTAGTGCCCCCTGCTCTGCCATTGTGGTTGCCCAAAAAATCTAGCTATGTGGCCTATGATAATAAATTAGCCAAACAAAAACCTATTGTTTAGATACTGACCTGGTATCAATGTAAGCCATAGCTCTTGCAATGCCTGAGCCCCAATCCCCGCCTTGAATATAATACTCGCTATGCCCAAGGCGTGCCATGAGCTTTTTAAACAAGTTTGCCATATGCAGTACGTCAAGTCCCGATTTGTGTGGGGCCTCTGAGAAGATATACCCTGGCAAAGACGGGCATATCACTTCGAAAATAAAGTCATCCTCGGATTTTGCTGTGAGAAGGGGAATTACTTTATAGAACTCGTAAAATGATCCCGGCCAGCCGTGGATAAGCATGATTGGCACAACTTTGCGAGTTTTGGTTGTAGGTTTTGTATGGACATAGTGTATTTTAATGCCGTCAATCGTGGCTATGTAATGTTTGAAGTTGTTCAGAATTTTTTCTTGCTCTTTCCATTTGAATTCGTCTACCCAATACCTATAAAAAGGATATTATATAATAACTTATTAAGTTGCATTGTGGCTTAATGCGCCCTTCTTTATTATATCACTTCACTACTCTCGTCAAGGGGAGAGCGCTGGTGCTTAGTGGGTTAATACGGAAGGCACAGCCACAGTATAGGGAGAAAACCAGTAGGGCCACTGACAGGTCCTAGACGTCTTGTGTGGTCAAAACCATTTACTCTGTAATACAATTTTATAGTGAACTGCTGCCGTTTACTGGCTGCCAATTTGTTAATTAGGTTGGCAGCCAGTAAACAATGCGGACACTTTTTGACGCTGAGTGTCCCTACAGTTGTCTTCCTATACTGCGGCACAGTGGTGGGACTTTCATCGCTGTAATCTAGGGGTTCAATTCCTGCAATTTTCTGCAGTTGTTTGATTGTAAATATTCCACTACAAGTTTTCTCAGAATGTGAATTCAGGGGGGGGGATGAAAATTGATTGCAGACACATAGAATCCCATCATGCATCACAACAGATCTCTTTTCCAAAAACTGATCTATATATGCCACTGATATGTGCCAAAAACAAGCTGTCCATATGCTGTAGCCACCTCACAAAATCTTTCAATTCTGCGATATTGCTACCATATTCCCAGTTTGTATTCTCCAGCGAACGAAAATATCTTGTATTTGCCAAACGCCAGCTCAAATCTGCCAGCTTGTCATCCTCGAATTGAATAGGAGCCATTTCCTCGATATTTATATCGCTGATGTTCGGTAGACTGGCAGGAGCTTCCTTGGACGGACCCCACCATTCGTGCGTGGCAACAGGTGGACTTATGAATGTATTCATCGCACGAAATCCCAAAATTATTGCCAGAATTAAAACGAAGACACTCGATACAATTACAGTCAGCAATTTCATCGTTGCGCCTTTCGGAAAGAACACGAAATATAACAATTAAGCCTTTAAGCGGCAGTGTAGCAGATGGAAGGCACTAGATAGGATCGACCTAAACCCCATGAGCCAACAATAACATAATATTTTATCAGCGGTATTTTAATGAACACTAGCGAATTTCCGGAATATTCAGAATTGGTTTCCGGTTTTCAAAGAGTGAAAATTTCAGCTGTGATTTTAATCTTCTTTTCCTTTGGATGCAGTATTAAATAACTAACGCGATCGACGGCAAGTTAAATCGGTAAGTTTTATTCTAACACACACAGTTTTACTACCTTACATAAAAGCAGAAATCTTTATTATACAATTTATCTAATTTATAATATAATCTTGACTATAAAGTAGCAATTGAAGTACAAAATGTCTATTTACATGCACTAATATACTATATATTTAATACCAGACAATATGTTGTCTGATGTCACCAACCTTTACATTAATCTGTTTTAAATATATGCTAGGTCTGGTGTAGTAGAACTGGTGCAGGCTACAGTTAAATCCATCTGGATTAAATTAGACAATTCTACATTATTTAGGGTCAAGAAATTAATAAATACACCTTTGCAGTTCAATTCATTAAATAATTTGACTAATGTCTCTGCTGATTTTTCTTGTACTTACAATTTTCAGCGTTGCCCCGGGGTCGAGGAATTTGCTAATAGCGAATAAAAAATGACAAATCCCTGGGATGTTGCCAGGGGGGGGGGTTGGATGATAACAGTACGAATTGACTCATGCATTACCATAACTATAGTGCCATTCAATCACAATACACCCTTTTGATAATTACACCATGACTACATCCTTTGCCTGCTAGGGAGGCTTGCAGTCTCATGAATCAAGACATTGAAGTCAATTTGCTGACAATTCATGAGAATGAGGCTCCCAGGCTATTAAGGAGAGATTTATGACAATCCTGCTGTTAATTCACCCTTCAGTCACTCATTAGAAAGGACTTAGCAATCATTAATATAGAATTAACATAAATGCACTAGTTTAGACTCTCAAAAGTTCAAATTGCCATGCATAAATTCCACATTATTACTTGTGTCCCAAAAAATGCTCCCAACTTTGTTTTGAAATATCACAACATTATCTTTGCTAAAAGTTTCAGATATATATACAGTACCAGATAGGATATCTATTGTATTATTTAAATCCATCAATATTTGACTGGGTTCTACAGCGAATTTCCGAGGGGGTCTTTGGAAAACCGTTTCCGAAGGGGTCTAAAATCAGTAACCTTGTCAACAGGGGGGTGTAAATTTTAAAGGTAATGGCCCCAATCGACTCACTCTGGTAACTGTGTTTTGTTTTAGAGTTGACCCCCCCCCCCCGTCCCTTTTGTGATGTCATATGAAACCCAAGAATTGCAATTGTGATGGAATGGCACTATAGTTATGGTAATGCATGAGTCAATTCGTACTGTTATCATCCAACCCCCCCCCCCGGCCGGGCAACATCCCAGGGATTTGTCATTTTTTATTCGCTATTAGCAAATTCCTTGACCCCAGGGCAACGCTGAAAATTGTAAGTACAAGAAGACATTAGTCAAATTATTTAATGAATTGAACTGCAAAGGTGTATTTATTAATTTCTTGACCCTAAATAATGTAATTTAATCCAGATGGATTTAACTGTAGCCTGCACCAGTTCTACTACACCAGACCTAGCATCAACCTCGTCCCCAGGGCCTTTTGAGGAAAGATGCGAAGGGCAGCAAAGGCCCTGGTAAAGGCTGGTGAAATAATCCACAAATTGTGGATTATTTTGTCACGTGATATATCGGAGCAAATACTATACAGGGGGGTGCGATCGCGGATCGCTTTAGCTACAATATATTCGTCAATATTTACACCGAATCGACAAATAAAGAACAAAAATCTATTTTAAAATGAAAAAAATCTGTTAAAGTTCTTCCAAAAATATTGAATAAATTTGAAATTGTCTTCAAATTAGCTCTGAGAACCTTGGTTGAACTTAAAGGAGATCTATTAAATGACAAAGCAACAGTGCAAAACGAATGGATCGATAGAAGTATTTATACTATGAATTACTGACGCAAGGAAATTAATTGCTGCCTCGATTGTGAAACAGATATGTAAAATCACTTTAATTTAATAATATGGACTCTCAATACACCATATCCATGATCATCAAAACATTTAATAGTTATTGTTGCTACAATGGATCTTTATTGCAAATGTCAATGTCATACAGTATATTTATAAACAGTTAAAGAGAGTACAAGACCCAAAGAATGTCTGAAAAATAAGGAATGTCAACATCGTATGCACTTGGAATTTAAAAATGCTTATGTTAGCCATATTCCCTGAGTATAACCTGGTTGACCTCCATGGTTAATTAACATTTCCTGAATTTAATTGAGTTGAAATGTTTTATTTGATTTTCATTCTTATCCCAAGAACATTGTGAACACACATATAGTGCTTTGGGTTTAGATTTCAAAGGCCAAGCTTCAAAACCAATGTTGTGATCTTAATGATCAGGCATTCCCAAACAATTACATGCAGGAGGGTCAAATCGGACAGAAAGCCTCCATATGCTTTATCAAGGCTGAATAATATAATGAGATGGAATTAATTTCCTCATTATACTGTTAACAAGCTCTTGTTTTTGTTTGTAATCAATTACACAAATTACTTCCCAGAACATTATTTAATTAAGGAGATTATTTGACAAGTCAGCAGGTACATTTTTTCCTGAGCCACAATTGGGGCAATTCAGTGTCACTCACAACATACAACAGGCAGTTCAGCATCACTCACCACAATTGACTGTTCAATACTGTGTGCCTCAGTAGGCAAATCAATAATCAATATTTTGCTCAGATCAACAACAAATATCAAAATTGAACTCATTCTCAAAACATGATACAATAACAAGGGGTCTCTTATGGACAAATACAAGACACCTGGTGTCAAATGTATCAAGTGACAAGATTATTCATCTCTTTTAATTTAAATACATTTTGCCGCCTTGTAATAATTAAAGTACTATTTGTTTTGGGGACCATCAGTTGAGCAATTTAAAACATTCGCAGTGTATGCTTTATCAGACCTAAAGGTACTTGGCTTCACCTTGTATCTTTATACCTGATAAAACTATAGTACATAAAATAATAACTATGATAGGAAGGATATTATACATATATTCTTGATGCTCAACATTATCCGATAATCATTTAACTATTGAGAATTGTGTGAATTCCTGAATTACTTATTGTTACAGACTGTACTGACCTCTTGCAATTATGGTTATTAACCAAAATCTGACAATGTCCCTAGTTAACCCATTGAGCTGCAATGTGCCCCAGTGTGCCCTACTTACTGAAATTGACTGATTTGTGGTTTATGGTTTTTTTTGTGGCAATTCTTTGGGCATCACAAGTGCACTTGTATATCTTAATACACTGTGAGAATACAAGTATTAGTATTTAAAATAATAATAATAATTTAATAATAATAATTTATTCAAACAAAGTCCCAATATTGGGACATAGAATACATGGGTAAATAACTAAATAAGTCGTTACGGTCTATAACAATAACATAGATATTAATATATATGAAAAAAGTTGATAAATGTATAAATACACATACATACACACGCACACGCGAGTAATTAGACCAGGCTATCAAAAGCAGCCAAAACGTCGAAACAATATTTGCCTACTAACTTCATTATTGACTTATCCTTCATAGCCATAATATATATAAATAGGTTTTCCGAAGTAAATAAGTTGAAAAACCTATTTATTTTATATAAATTATCAATGAATTTTGTCCTGAGGTTGATGAACTTCATGTTTGTACAAGACATTAAAAAGTGATGTTCATCTCCTACTTCATTTAACTCACAAAGTCTGCATAGTCTATCATTGTATGGGACATTGTTGTATCTACCAGTTTCAACAGTTAGCTTATGTGCTGATATTCTTAACTTTGTAACAGCTTGACGATATTTGAAATTACTAATTTCGGTTAAGTATTTTTCACATTCAAAGTGTTTTTTTATTTTTCTAAAAGTTCTTAGCTTGCCAGTATTTTCGACAGGTTGAAACTGCTCTGCCCAATACAATATAAACGCTTCTTTAAATCTATGTTTCACGTAATGGCAAACATTTCGTTTTTCTGTTTCAGATAATTCCGTCTGTAAGTTGGATAATTCAGTTTGTGAATCGCAATTTTCTCCCTCACATAGTTGCAGTGCATATTTGATAAAAATTGTTGACTTTAGGTTAAGTTCCATGCATACATTCGCTGCTTTTCCAACAAGCGTGTTTGATAACAATGAACTTTTTATTCGAAACCAATATTTTACAACCAGCTTAGCTATTTGAACGATCAAAGGCGTTCTTCCTAGCTCAGCATAAATAGCCATGTTTGTTGATTTTGAATGAACTCCTAAGACTCTTTTGCAGAATTTTAGATGAAGTTTTTCAATTGCACTATTGATTTGGAAAATTTTTTTCTTGAACATTTCGAAAGAGTTTATTCTGCCCAATAAATGCGGACCCCACACTTCGCAACCGTATAATAAGATTGGGGTAACTATCAAAGAAAATAGTTTTAACATTAGTTTTATTGGAACATTTTCGACATTTGAGAAACTTTTAAATATACTATGATAGGCATGTAATGCTTTTCCGTAGATTATCTTTTGTGCTCGCTTGAAAGTACCAGAAAAGTGAAGAGTAATACCCAGATAACAATATTCATCAACTTGTTCCAAAATATTTTTACCGAATGTCCAGATTGATGTAGAATGCCTACGTTTTTGGGTTGGTGTTCCAAATACTAGAACTTTGGATTTTTTAAGATTAATGTTTAACTTCCACTTTTTGGTATAGTAAACAAGTTTTGTGAGGCAATTTTGTAACCCTGCCCTGGATTCGGATAATAAGACTAGGTCGTCTGCGTAAAGCAAACAGCTTAGATTTGTATCATTTAATTTTACTGGAGTGCATGACCTGTCAAATATATCAGGTAGATCATTAATGAATAGGTTGAATA